AAGCGCATCTATTGATTCGACACCGATTGTCACCGCCGTTGCATATTTCTGCCAGTCGATGTTCCTTGTAAGATTCGAAGATTTTCAATTGCACCGAATTTTTGCTTGACACCTCATTAGCGTGCATCCTCCGGAAGGCAGAACGCCAGCACCAAGAAAAGAAAAAAATAGGTACCCGGTAAAACTCTTCTTGGGAGGGAGGTAAAGCACCAAAAACAAGCGAAATGAAAAACCGACCGAAGCGACACCACAGCAACACAGCTACTGGAAACAAATTCTTGTTCCAGATTTTTCACTAAAAAAAAACTTCTTAGGACGTGATAGATCTTAATTTACACTATCCACACGCGAAAACTAATATTTGTTTGATTTGGTACAATTAAAAAATATGCGAAAAACAGATGAAATCAGCGCCAGCGAAAACAAAACCAACCGTTCGCGGGCAGAGCCTACTGCGTTTTTTTCATCAAGAGTTATTGACGTTTTTATACTAAAAATATGCACTTTTCAAATGTTAATATCGCTGGTTGGGGCAATCAAAAAAAAGTTTTTTTATGGCATTTGAAAGAGTGTATGTTATATTCAATGATAAGAAAAAATTGGAGGTATGTTATTTTTTAAACTCGTAAAAAATCAATTTGAATTTATTCACATTTTTTACTATATTTGGGTATATCTTTTTTATAAGAAGAGATACAGGCAACAAATTTCGCTATAAAACATTCGTCTTAAAGAGTTTTAAAAGTTTCTTCAGGATGACTTTCATGAGAAATTTGAAATAAAAAAGTTGGCGCTAAAAAACTATTTTTTCCAGGAACACCCTAAGTCAACTCTGAAAAATTACTCTAAAATGAGAACGTTAAGAGATAAAACAAATTTTTCTTCGACAAAGTTTCTTGCAATCAACTTAGCTACAACTTTTTCAAATAACACATGTTTTTATTTTGTAAAACAAAAAAGTTAGTTTTAAAAATTTCCTAATTTGAGGACCACCCTGACGTTTGCAAACACCAAAAGAAGTGTATTTTTAAGAAAAAAAACTTCATCGAAGACACTAAATGTCCAAATATTGAAACAAATGTACTAGCACATTTTATTTAAATTTGTCATTAGAGTGGTCCTATGAAATCCATCTTTTGACAATACCTTTTTTATTTTAAATTTCTCATGTAAGTCATCTTCTAGAGACTTTTAATTTGTTGTCTGTATCTCTTCTAATAAAAAAGATATACCCAAATATACTAAAAATATGAACAAAATTCAAATTGATTTTATACGAGTTTAAAATTAACATACCTCCAATTTTTTCATATTATTGAGAATAACATACGCCCTTGCAAATGTCTTAAATAACTTTTTTTTTTGTTAGCCCCATCCAGAGATATTAACATTTGAAAAGTGCATATTTTTAGTATAAAAACGTCAATAACTCTTGATCGGCGAAAGATATTTACAAGCTTTCTGCAGCAAAAATTTGCGCCTGTCTATGTCTATGTCTATAGTAATGGTTCTTGATTGCAATGATTCGTTTACCTTGTTAATTTTATTGAGGCTTCTCTCCCATAGATCGAGCAGACAAAGAAATTTGAAATCAATTTGTTTCAATAAAACTTGATTCCCGTACACCTTGGCACTATTATACCTATTAAAGGGTGATACGGTCAAAATTTGGTCAAGGGAAAACGCGTGTAAATCGGTGAAATCGTTTATTTAAAAAATCAAATTAAATTTCTTTTTCAAGTTCAATTAGTATAAAATTCAGGAAAAATATTCAGTTAGGCTTCCGCTTTTCCAAATCCGAATTGCCGGGCCTTACGCTTGACCCCTGCCATCAGATTTTGTACAGCCACCTTGTCCACCTTCTTCGCCGCAGAAAGCCAGTTTGCCTTGAACTGCTGCTCGCCCTTAGCAGTTTTTTTGGTCTTCTTTAGGTTCCGCTTGACAATAGCCCAGTATTTCTCAATTGGGCGGAGCTCTGGCGTGTTGGGAGGGTTCTTGTCCTTGGGAACCACCTGCACGTTGTTGGCGGCGTACCACTCCATGGCCTTTTTACCGTAATGGCAAGATGCCAAATCCGGCCAAAACAGTACGGAACAACCGTGTTTCTTCAGGAAAGGCAGCAGACGTTTATTCAAACACTCTTTCACGTAAATTTCTTGATTGACAGTCCCGGAAGCTATGAAAATGCTGCTTTTCAAGCCACAGGTACAGATGGCTTGCCAAACCAGATATTTCTTTGCGAACTTTGACAGTTTCATGTGCTTGAAAACATCTGCTACCTTTCCCCTTCCTTTTGCCGTATAAAACTCCTGTCCCGGAAGCTGCTTGTAGTCGGCTTTGACGTAGGTCCATTACCACGCAGTCAAACTTCGTCAGCATCGTCGTGTACAGCCTCCGGGATCGCGCTTTGGCCGTCGTATTTTGTTTATCATCGCGATTTGGAGTCACTACCTTCTTGTAAGTCGATAGTCCGGCTCGTTTTTTGGCTCGATGCACGGTTGTAGACGATACACCCAGCTTATTTGCGGCATCTCGGAGAGAGAGGTTAGGGTTTCGCTTGAAACTACCGGCAACTCTCTTTGTCGTCTCAGCGGCTTCCGGTTTTCGATTTCCCCCCGATCCAGACTTCCTGGCTGTCGACAAACGTTCCCCAAACACTTTAATTACATTTGTAACGGTTGATTTGGCAACTTTTAGCGATTTTGCCAACTTTGCGTGCGAGTAGCTCGGATTTTCGCGATGCGCGAGCAAAATTTTGAAACGCTGCTCTTCTTGCTTGGACGGCATTTTGACAACTGAAGAGTGAATTCCAAAATCAAAATAGGAGCAACATTCTACACACACACACACCTTCAAAATGAGGGGTGTTCAGGTTTTTTAAATGCAAAATTGAAAGAAATACATCAAGTTGATATTGACCAAATTTTGACCGTATCACCCTTTATACATACCCAAGCAGGGTCATGAAAAATATGCAATTATTTATGATCAATTTCTAAGTAAAAATGATTTTTTATCATTGGTCTATCTTAGGGTTCAAATTGTCAGGACTCCGTCATATGCGAAATATGTGGTTGCTATGACAACGACAAAGTCTAAAGCATCAGAGTTCTTAACACTAAATTACTGGAAATGTTTTAGTTTAGTGCATGCAAAATTTTGAATTTAAGGCGAATCACTATGACATCCTTATTCTCGGAACCACTTCGAAACTTTAAGTGCACAAATATCAGCTTCTACGGCACGTGCAGCATTCAAATTGTTACTCCACGTTTTCTGCACTGCAGCATAACGGGTGTTCAATAAAAAATGAATTTTTTTAGTCATATAGCTAGTGAAAAAATTTTTTTTTTTCAGCGAATTCAGTATTTTTTATTAAAAACATAATGTTCATTCTTCAACAAACGTCAATGAATATTGGAGAAGGGGCCTGGTCAGCCGTACGACGCAACTTAGTCGCAATGCTCTCACAAGAGCGCTGGACGGCACTGAAATCATTCTCATTTTTTATTGAACACCCGTTACATGAAGTAGCAGTTTCAGGTAACATGGGGTAGCGATTTCCGGGATTTGTGTAATTGAAAATTCGAAGTGGAACATCCTTTATAACAACACTACATATCATTCGAGCAGATTTTAAAACGTTTTGGTAGTAAATTAAGTTAAAAGCGAAATGTCTAACTATTACTCTCAAAATATTTTTGTAATACCAAAAGCAATTGGTTTGTGTCATTTTACATTACATCATGCAGACATTTAAAATCATTTGAATATCAGTTTCACTGATTGAGCAAATTAAGACTAAATCAATAATGATATTTAATCAAAAATATATGTTTGTTGAATCTGGAAATATACGAGCTCTGTCTGTGTATCTGGCAAGACATCTGAATATCGGGGAAAGAAGTTATTATAAACCTTCTTGCCTAATTGCAAGCAAATTTTTAATTATGCTTGACAGAAAGATCAAAATTATTTCGCTCTGATAGAGAAGCAATATTTGACTTTCAGTCATTATTCGTTGTCAATACACAGAATCTGCTGGCGGCAACATCAATCAACGGATCCCACCCAGTGCAAAGGATTGCGCGGATCGGGATTCGAATCGTGGTCCCAAATAACACCTGGCTAAGCAACGATTAAAAAGACGGACGGACGGACGGAGGGCGAAAGCCGGATAATAGGAAAATCAACAACGAAAGCCGACCGAGCGGTACTGCACTGAACCGACTAGCTGCTACCGGCTTGGGCAATCATGACTATCCGTTCGCTCCTATAAATTACCGTTCATTGGCGTTTTCCATCAACGGACGAAATGCAAATGAATATTTTATATCACTCCTCTATTTGTTTATTTATCTTATCCAGCTTATAATGGGCGAATACGTATACGCACGGTGGTTTGACGTCAAGATTGTTTTCCCCCGCTGGCTTTGAAGGGGAGGGTCGGGAGGGACGGCGCAGAATGTCCGCGTGCAAGAAGAGAGCTGACAACTGTTGTTTTTTCCCTGTGTTGTGTTTACGTTCTTATTTTCCCGGGCTACGGCTGCCACTGTGGTTGGTAATTTATCATCTAGATGTTATATCAAACGTTGTGGACGTTGAGTTGAGGCTAAATGGAAAATTCCTGCTCAACGTGGCTTATGTTTCGCCAATCAAGCGAGGAACTATTTGAAATGCTTTACCGTACTTTGGGAATGCGGTCAAAGAAATTGACCAACTTGCAATAATTAGGTTATCCTCACAAAACATGCGGACAATTAGCAACCGAATTGATCGGTCGTCCACCTGCGCTGCTGCTAATGCGTAGAAATTCCATGAAATATAAATCAGGGATTGCGGATTAATGTGTTTTCGCAGTATGTACTACGTGGAAGGTTTTCTGACGTGATTTGTGAACGTTTGACAAGAGAGGGGGGGGAGGGGGGGGGGGTATATCACGTTTCACTTTGTACGTCAATGACTGATTTGAACTTTTCTCTCTTCCTTATTTATTTCAGATCTCCATCGTATCAATTGGCCGAGAAGAATAAAAACAAATCCAATGATACGAAGGAAGCTCCCCTGGCAGCACCGGAAGTAACTTCCGATGGTTCTGGAACGGGCCCGGTGTCGAATAATTCAACTACCAGCGGTGGTATTAGTAGCAATCCAGCAGCAACTGGTGGCTCCATTGAAGCCAGTAAGGCGCAGCTGAAGGCACTGCAGAATGTACAATCGGTTACACTATCTGGTAGGTATCGCGTGATATAGCTTAAAGCATTTAAAGTGAGATTGGAGTGTATAATTAGTTTTTTTTTACTGTGGGAGTATGTGTTTGAGGTAAAATTATGGTTTTATAGGTGACTCAACATATTTACTACTGCGATATCGATTACCCTTTGATTATTTAATTATAACTATGATCATGACACATTCTGCTTGAAGCGGCTTGGAACTTTGTAGATTTTGTAAAGGCTTTTTGTTAAAAGCTCTAAGTGAAAGCTAATAATATGCCTTAATTCAGTGATATTGCTAGCAGATGGGAGATTTATACTGACCATAAAACTAGAAACATTGAAAGTACCATAAACACCTCATAGAAAACGCTTACTTTTTCAATGAAAAAGTTGTTCGTCTTGATATTCTCATCCACTTACTAAGGGAGTGCACAGTTTTATGTTACAGGTTTCTATCTAACCTTGTATCAAATATTGGGTAATGTACCATGCGTCTCCATTGATATTAGAGCTCATTATTATTACTCAATTCAATCCATTACAAGTATACAATACTTGGAGGCAGTCATGCCACATTTTTTCGTATTTAAATCTGTGTTTTCATCGCACAAAGTCTATTTAATCTGTATCTGGTTGACAAAAATTTGTAAAAAAATCTGTATAATTTCTGTATTATGGTCTCAGGGCGGATTTACGTAAATCTCCATTGAGCAAATTCGTAGTTCAGAAGGAGTTTGTTCAAAGTTTAGAATCATGAAAAATGTCTAAAGTTTGCATTCTAAAGAATTTATCTAGGTATTTTAAAAATCTTGAAATCCTACTATATTAATTTTTTTAAGTGTTTTGTACCTCTTCTACAGTCTGAAAATACAAAACATTAAGTACCAGCTGTAAGATACAAATCTGTTTCCGGCTGAAAATTTTCTTAATTAAGTAACTATCACTATTCCCTAGATTTTGATTTTTTTTATGTCTCAGGTTACGGAAACCTTTATCCAGACATTTTATGTAACACAGATCTTTTACTGAAAGTTTAGTCGAATTGCATGCAATATTCTTTATTTCTGTAATTAAACTTTTTAAATATAAAGATATCCAGTTGACTCTTCGACTCACATACTGTAATCAACCACTTTGTGGGTTTTCTAAAATGGCTTGTTTACCGATTTGACAAAAACTACATTTAATTAACCTTCGCATCTGTCACCATGTGACATAGTTAATTACGAGATTAATTAAACAAATAGAAAGGAAAACTAATATCCGTTCCAACGAGAAATCAGAACATCTGATTATCAGAAGTCCATTCGAAAGATTTAGGGAAAAATACGATTTGGGTTTGATGATCAGATTGAATTCAAGTTGCTCAAAAGGAAGTAAAATAAAAAAATGCCTTTATTTGAAAAATTCTGTATATTTTTCAAAAAGATACAGATATCTGTAAAAAAATATTTAAAAAAAAATGCGTGATTACAGATAAATCTGTATATGTGGCATCACTGCTTGGAGGTAGATGATAAAAATCTCCATAGAGAAATTAAGAGAAGAGGGAATAATTCGCATTCGATGCATATTCAGGAAAAAACGTGAACGAGAACCTAAAGAAATCAGTAAGGGTCTGTGTTAAACAAGCTATAATTAAAGAAAAACAATATTTTCCAATACATTTTTTACCCACTTTACTACCAGTCCCAAGAGAGCCAAAACATTCAAACCCGAGAGCAAAAATTTTCTCCCACGAGCTTAATCTCTCAACATTACATTGATCCACACGATATGTGATTTCCTTCTCATAGACTACAAAATATAGTACCTAGCCCTGAAAAAATGTTGAAACCCTTATTTATTCAATTAGATTTCCCATCCACTGGCGAAGTTTGGAAAGTATTTATGTTGTCGAAAATGTAAGAAAGGAGGGACTCCGGATGTTAATACATGTTAAATACATGTTTTCACCACACTGCCCTCATATAACAATTAACGGAACTAAGTAAATGCGTAATTTCAGATAGATGTCACCATTAAGAACAGCAGTGACATCTGTAGGAAAATTAGTAGGAGCATGGTAACATGATTAATTCTCCCGGAAGAATTAAACGAATTTCTCCCAGAAATTTCTCATGGTTTTCTTTGGAAGATTCATTCTACTTCCTCTGGAAGTTTATTCCAAATTCCAAATTCAACATCAACAGAACCACTTTCGATCAGTTTTCATGATATTTGTTTTGGCTTGACTCGTGTTCATTTCTTGTTTCATTGTCACTTAAGCGAAGCTGTTCGATCCAATTTCGCGCTTTTTATGACTCTTGTTGATTGTTCAATCGGTTAATTTAAGCGTATCCGCATAGATCTGTGCATGTGGATGTCATATTTATCATTGTCGGGTGGTTTGTTTACCCATCAATATGGGTATTTTTTTAATCGGGGTGACGTCTAGAGATTGAAAATTGACATGAGACACCATTTTGAAATCCAACATGGCAACTTCCAGTTTTATAAAAAGCGGGAAATACTGTCAAATACCTATCAATAAAGGTATTTTTGGAATTCAAATGATGTCTAGAGGATGAAAATCGATACCCGACGTCATTTTGAAATCGAAGATGGCGGCTTCTGACTTAAGAAAAGTGGAAATACAGTCAAATACACATCAATATTAATATTTTTGCAATCGGTATGATGTCTACAGATCGAAAATTGATATGCGACGCCATTTAGAAATCCAAGATAGCGGCTTCCGATTTCAGAACATGTGGGAAATATTGTCAAATAGCCATCAATATAGGTATTTTTGGAATTGGGATGGCGTCTAGAAGCCGGAAATCGATATTCGACGCCACTTTGAAATCCAAGACTGCGACTTCCGTTTTGTGGGAAAGTGTCAAATACCCTAAAATATGGTTATTTTCAGAATGGAGATGAGACGTAGATGCCAAAAATTGATGTATGGCCTCTTTAAACCCAAGATGGCGGATTTGGTTGAGAGAAACTGTGAAATACTGTCAATGTGTTTTTTTTAATCGAGGTGACATCAAAAAACCAGAAATCGATGTCCAAAGCTATCTTGAAATTCAAGATGGTGGATTCCGATTTCAGAAAAAGTGTCGAATGGCCTGCAGGCATCGAATATCGATTTTCAGCATCTACAAGTCGTCTCCGTTCCGAAAAATACCCAGATATTGGGGTATTTGACACTTCTTATGACACCCGATGACTGCCATATTGAATTCCAAAATGGCATCGGATATCGATTTCGGCATCCACGCGTTGTCCCCGTTCCAAAAATACCCATATCTTAGGGTATTTGACACGTTTCTTATGAAACTTGATGGCCACCATCTTAGATTCCAACATTGCGTCGGATATCGATTTTTATCTACGCGTTGTTCCCGTTCCTAAAATACCCATATCTTAGGGTATTTGACACTTCCGAAAACCGATGGTTACTATTTTGAATTCCAAAATGGCGTCGGACCCTATAGTATGGTATTTGGCACTTTTTTTGAACCCCCATGGCTGCCATTTTGGATTCCAAAATGGCGTCGGATATCGATTTTCGGCACCTTCCTGTCGTCCCCGTTCCGAAAATACCCATATTGTAGGGTATTTGAGACTTTTCCTGTCCCCGATGGCCGCCATCTTGGAATCCAGAATTGCCTCGTTAATTTAATTTTCGATTAATATAAAGTAATATATTATTAATACATATAACCCGGATGCCATCCCTATCGGCAACCGGCGAATACTATATTTTGATGCTTGACGACGCGGTGCTTGAGAAGTCGAATGAGCCCGAATTGAAGTGAAAGTTGAAAAAACGAAGGAGGCAGTTTTCGAGTCATTCATTGCGTCAATAGAAACAAGTCTTTGAACTGAAGCACTTGACAGACGACACAAGCAATAGTCAAGTCATGTTTGAAAGGAGGAACCTTCATCGTGACTCGATAACAAGAAACACAATGACTTACACGAAAATGATATTGCTCGAAATGATGCGATTCTGCGGAGAGTTCATTTTTTTTTTCTTTGTTTCGAAAATGCAGATCCGGATTCCCGAAAGCTTATTCCATCTTCCCGATTTGTTTTCTACATCCTTCCTTGGAAGTTTCTTTCATCTTCCCTACACTTACCCCGGGAGTTTCTTTCAACTTTCTCGAAAATTTCTTCCAAAGTTCCCCGAAAGTTTCTTACAATTTCCCTCAGACGTTTTACTGGCTTTCTCTAGAAGTGGAAATTGCTTCATATTTTCTGACTCACCCTAGAAAAATCTCAACTGCCTTAGAAGTTTGGAAATGTCTTCCGACTTTCTTGGGAAATTTATTTTAATTTCGCCGAAATTTCTTTCTGACTTTTCTCGAAAGTCTCTTTCAATTTCTCCACCGGAAGTTTCTTTTTTTTCCTTGATTTGTTTTCCGTGCTGAGCACCAATGCTACCGACGCCAAGGAGGCAGCTCCCACTCCTGGATCCTACCTATCGACCCATATCAACCCATGAACCGGAGACCAACGGCTTTAGTTCCCCTCGGAAGGAAGGCGTGATCAGAGATGTTATGCCTCAAAACATCCCGGAGGCGCCAACTGGGATTGAACCCACGCTGGGGTTAGAGGTAATCACGCTTCCCGCTACACCACCGGCGCCGCTGCCGGAAGTTTCTTGTGATTGCCTTCGGAACATTCTTCCCACTAGAAGTTTCTTCCTTCTTCTTCGGAAAGATTCTTGTGATTTCGTCAAGAAGTTTTATCCGACTTCGCTTGAAAGTTTCACCCAACATCTCCGAAAGTTTATTCAATATTTCCAGGATTTACTCTGGAGTCTCTTTAAACTTCTTAGAAATTTATTGAAACATTTTTTTTTCAATCTTTGCTAGGAAGTTTTTTTTGCAATCTTTGCTAGGAAGTTTCGTTTGACTTCGAAGTCCTTCTGGCTTTTCCTGAAACTGCAAATTGATTCCTGTATCCCCTGGAAGATACTTCTGTCTTCTCTTGGAAGTTTCTTTCGACTTCGTCAGAAGTTCTTTCGGCTTTCTTTGAAAGTGTCTTCTGGTATCCAAGGGAAGCTTTTTTTTAGATTACCCCGAAATTACTTCTGATTTTTCTCGGAAGTCTCATTCAACTTCCCCTTGGAAATTTCTGCCAGTTTCCGTTGGAAGTATCTGTCGTCTTCTCGGGAAAAGTTGATCTGATTTCCTCCGGAAGTGTCTTTCGACTTTCTTATCTAATCTAATCTAATCTAATCTAATCTAATCTAACACCAACACAGCCAGTTCTTGAAAGCATCCTGGAAAATGATATATATACCTACATGATTTTTCTTGTCTATTTGATATATGTTTCACATCGAAGATGCGTCACACATATCAAAACGGCTAGGCCTACTATGCAGCATTTAAGGGGCAAGATGATTCAGCAAACATCGGGCCTGTTTAAATCGATGATTTAAACACGATGCTTCAGAATCCAATAAATGGATGAAACGTGGACATGCCGTACCATCCGCTTCGATTTTGGTAATTATATGATTGGTTGGTCGTTGGAAGCATCAAAGCTAGAAAGGTTAAGTGATGCTCCATTTTATTCTGACGGTTAGGGTATGACCACTAACTCTTGTCCTAGCTTTTTATGACTTATGGCTATGCGCCATCACTCGCTTTCTGAAAAGAGAAAAGGGAAAAGGATTATGTAAACTCTATGAACCTAAACAATATTTTTTTATTTGAAATATACAATATAGAAATGCATAACGGCGGTGGTCACTACGCGAGTCTTGTCACTATTATCAAGAGAGAGAGAGAAGGATTAGTATTTTCCATTTAAATCCACTACTTTATTTGCTTATCCTTGACAGATACGCGTATTTCGTCTACAATGTGCAGACTTCTTCAGTGTCTTGTACTAAAACTCGGTATTCCACTAAGACGCCCACATTCATCAGGACTATTATCAAGTCATAAAAAGTAACAAGGACTAAAAATGTGATCCTTTGATAACTGGAAAATCCTGATTTCCTAGATTCAAGTTGTCACGACTAGGGTTCGGTGGTAGATCTTATACCAGTAACGCACCACAAAAAGGTGATCTCCCAACGTTACTGGTTTGAAAAGATAAAAATTTACAAAATGGAACGAACTCCCTAAGTTTAGCCAATTGAACCTGAAGGCTGCTTGACATGTGTTGATGTAGAAGTCCAAATTGTAGACGAAGCTTGACGAAGTTCAACATGAACTAGTCCGGTTTATGGTAGTTGCGCGGAATGTCTTCCGTCGATTTGAGATAAACAAATATTCGGATGTAGGGTAAATTATGGCTTCGGCACCCATTGACTGTTTTCGGCAACCGAAATTGAAACGTTTATTTCACTGTATTTTCCCATCAAAACTCTTCGCTGAATGTATTAAGCCGATTCCTTACCTTTTCAGCTTCAATCTGATTACATTTTTACGACTGTGAATTCCTGTTATACCATATTTTTCTTTAAATGAAATATACATACTACAAAATACGGCTGATTTCGAGTTGCCGATAATAGAACAGCTGGTTAACACGCAGTTCAAATGGAAAGGGTGCCGAAGAAAAAGAGACTGCCGACAATAGTCACTCTCACCTGAGAAGTTTGGAGCGTTGTAAAAACATGTTCAACCCGTTTTGATCAATTCTGTCGATTGGAATTGGTAGAACAGCAAACAGCAGATAAATGTCAACAAACAAACCTGTCATGTATGTGTGTGACGCTGAGAAATCGCTAATAAAGGGTGATACGGTCAAAATTTGGTCAATATCAACTTGACGTATTTCTTTCAATTTTGCATTTAAAAAACCTGAACACCCCTCATTTTGAAGGTGTGTGTGTGTAGAATGTTGCTCCTATTTTGATTTTGGAATTCACTCTTCAGTTGTCAAAATGCCGTCCAAGCAAGAAGAGCAGCGTATCAAAATTTTGCTCGCGCATCGCGAAAATCCGAGCTACTCGCACGAAAAGTTGGCAAAATCGCTAAAAGTTGCCAAATCAACCGTTACAAATGTAATTAAAGTGTTTGGGGAACGTTTGTCGACAGCCAGGAAGTCTGGATCGGGGGGAAATCGAAAACCGGAAGCCGCTGAGACGACAAAGAGAGTTGCCGGTAGTTTCAAGCGAAACCCTAACCTCTCTCTCCGAGATGCCGCAAATAAGCTGGGTGTATCGTCTACAACCGTGCATCGAGCCAAAAAACGAGCCGGACTATCGACTTACAAGAAGGTAGTGACTCCAAATCGCGATGATAAACAAAATACGACGGCCAAAGCGCGATCCCGGAGGCTGTACACGACGATGCTGACGAAGTTTGACTGCGTGGTAATGGACGACGAAACCTACGTCAAAGCCGACTACAAGCAGCTTCCGGGACAGGAGTTTTATACGGCAAAAGGAAGGGGAAAGGTAGCAGATGTTTTCAAGCACATGAAACTGTCAAAGTTCGCAAAGAAATATCTGGTTTGGCAAGCCATCTGTACCTGTGGCTTGAAAAGCAGCATTTTCATAGCTTCCGGGACTGTCAACCAAGAAATTTACGTGAAAGAGTGTTTGAATAAACGTCTGCTGCCTTTCCTGAAGAAACACGGTTGTTCCGTACTGTTTTGGCCGGATTTGGCATCTTGCCATTACGGTAAAAAGGCCATGGAGTGGTACGCCGCCAACAACGTGCAGGTGGTTCCCAAGGACAAGAACCCTCCCAACACGCCAGAGCTCCGCCCAATTGAGAAATACTGGGCTTGTCAAGCGGAACCTAAAGAAGACCAAAAAAACTGCTAAGGGCGAGCAGCAGTTCAAGGCAAACTGGCTTTCTGCGGCGAAGAAGGTGGACAAGGTGGCTGTACAAAATCTGATGGCAGGGGTCAAGCGTAAGGCCCGGCAATTCGGATTTGGAAAAGCGGAAGCCTAACTGAATATTTTTCCTGAATTTTATACTAATTGAACTTGAAAAAGAAATTTAATTTGATTTTTTAAATAAATGATTTCACCGATTTACACGCGTTTTCCCTTGACCAAATTTTGACCGTATCACCCTTTAGAAGTTCGGACGCTGCTTAGATTGACGAGAATACGTAAATTCCCCTATGTGGTCGATTTTTGATGTGCATTGGCAAGCCTTTTCGTGGGCAATAGTCAGGTTCAACGCTGCGACTCAACGAATGATGGAACTAATTATGGGACAAATGATGGGACGCCTCGTGGAGGTTCTACTTGGTTTCGGAACAGCTTTTCAGTGGCAAATAATAGGGACGTAAAATTGTCTCTTGGGCCTAGTTTTGGCCAGATCAGCAACCAATTATAGATTAAAAAAAAAACTCCACGGAAAAAAACAAACGTCAGGTTCGATCACACGCACAGCCTACTCTCTCTGGAAGTGTCTTTCGACTTTGGTAGGAAACATATTTTGACCTCACTCGGAAGGTTCTTCTGACTTCACACTCGGAACTTTCTTCTAACATTTCCCGGAAGTTCCTTCGGACCTCCCCGAGAAGAACTATCTTGACATTCTCAGATTTTTTTTAAAACTATTTCTCTCGGAAGTTTCATCTGCCACTTTTGACCATAAGTTTCTACCAGTTTCTGTTAGAAGTATTTTCCGTCTGCTCGGGAAAAGTTCATCTGATTTCCTCGAGAAGTATCTTCCGAATTTGCCAGGAAGCTTCTTTAGACTTCACCCGGAACATGTGCCATCTTGACATTCTCAGGTTTTTTCAACTATTGGCAATCTAACGATAGCATAAAGCGCCACTTGTGGCAAATAGGAGAAATATAAAACTGATGATGGTATCATAATTTTGCACGGTGAGGTATGGGAGAATATTTTAAAAACGCTTTTATTTAATCAATAAAGTATTTTCTATAAATTTGTGTTTGGGCACACGTCGAACATATGTGTAACTACCCTACACACTAAAGATGTTTCCATCAACACACAGATGTCATTACTTGTATATACAGTGTCTATAGTCTTGTTCTGTACTGTTTAATATTGTATTGAATGATAGACGATAACAAATAAAAAGCCAATAGTTCGTATGCCTCCACCATGGCAGGATGGCCCAACAGTCGGTCTGTTTTTATCTATTAAATATATCACAACGTAGGGAAACAAAGTTCGGTGCGCGATCAATTTGATTGTGCATACAATGTTAGAAAAGTTTAAATCTAAAGATCTAAACGAAAACTAAGAAAAAAAAAAATAAAAATTTAAATTTATACGTCTATCGGGTAGACTTGAGGTTTCTTCCTCCGTAGCAGCTTTTAAAAAAATGACAAATATTTTTTTCGGATAATACTTAAATGCTTTTCTATACCTCAACGTGCAAAATTTTGAGACCATCATCATTCTTCTATTAATTTCTCCTATCCGCCCGAGCGCTATCGTTAGATCGCCAATTTCCATCGGAAGATTCATCTGACTTATAGCGAAACAGTCTCCAAAGACCTTCTGTCAAATCGATTTACGATTTTTGACAATGGTTTCTGTCTTGTTCAGATCGTCCCAGGATTACAGTGTTATTATAATCAGTGGGCCTCCCGTTGCCTTGTCAAGTATTGGCACAGTAACGCTAGACAATGCTAAAGACAGCTGGTTTGATTCCGATTTAGGTTGGAACATCCCCTGACTACTGGGCACTGTTGTAGGTTCAAATAGTCCTTAAATAATATATTTAAACTTCAAATAATATTTTAATAACCCCATTGCTGTTTCTTTCTATGTTATGTTTAAGGCTAGCAGTTGACAAAGCAACTGCATTTTATTGCCCACTGAGCAATCAATAATTTAACTGTTCCAATTTATGTTACAGCTGATTCAACATCCAACAGCCCTATGACCGCAATGCCTCCATGTGATATCGCGGCAGTGCATCAGAATCTTCCACAGAATCTTACACCGCTGTACGGAAAGCCAGCTTCCAGTCGTCGTACGGATAAATATAAGAAAATCGTCCTCTATATATTGGCAGCTGATGACGGTTGGTTGATGAAGTGTTCCCTCCAGGTTTACGGTAATTTGCTTGCTAACGTAACTCTCCCCTACAGGATATCAGGCGGAAAAGGCCGTGCTGCGAGATGTCTTCAAGGGTTTAAATCAAAAATGTCAAAGCCGAGGCTTCGAGCTGCACGTTTCGGACCTGCACGTGATGCAGGTAAAAGGTAGCAGCTTCAACGTGAACAAGTGGCTCAGCGGCCCGCTGGAGGCACAGGGTGGACATGATGTAGCGGCCAACTGTTTGGCGGAAATCGCTCGCCAGTCGTGTGATTCTTATCTTATCCCGATACTGTTCCTAAGCTCCACGCTGGGTGACCCACTACTGCCGTTGACGATTGAAAGTCAAGACTTTACGACGGTGCTACAAACGGCCGAGATTTATCCACAGGACCGTGCCATTCTGGAGAAGTGGTACACTTTGGATGACAAATCGCAGCCAGCGTGCTACCGCTTGAATGCCAAAAATAACTTGGTGAGTGATTTATGAGTGCAATGTGTTTGCGAGGTCATTCGGTTTCATGGTCATGTTGACATTGTTTTATGTCATTTCAGAAGCTAACGGCGGAGGAATCGGAGAAAGAACTCTCTACGTTGCTGAAAATTTTAATTGACATCTTCTCCAAGGAGTTGCGGGATTCCTATCTGACAACGGTGGTTGAACAGGTAGTGATTTATAGTTAACATACTGGCGAGAGAATGGTATGAAACGAAGTTTTTTTTTACAGGAAATTAACAACACTGTTCTTATCAACCAAGAACTGTCCAAGCGATGCATTTGGGTTCAAAGTTCGAGTGCACCGTTGAAAGTTACGGAAAATTCTTCATCGGCGGAAGCTGAGGTGGTTCGAAGATTAACGAACATACAAAATGATTTGAAGGTAGTCATTTTCGTTTGGGTAGATTTCAAACTTAAGCACATTCCTAATTCTGTTAATTCCAGAATCACCTCACCGAGAAGCACATTCTTCGTATTCCAGCGAATATTGCCCAGCAACAGGACCAGTTTGCCGCACTACTGGAAAACTGCTTATCTACCGAGATCGACCTCATAGTCGATGAACACATGAGCAAATACTCGATTCCTCTGTGCACGTACGGGGTGGATCGACGGCTGTTGAGCGAAATCGAAGAGGTTAACCGCCACTCACGTGTTCTAAACGAAAATTGCGCCAACTTTTCCATTACGGATCGGGTGAAGGAGTACCTTACCAGCAATCGGCGGAAACCACTGGTGATTTTCGGCAAAACAGGTGCAGGAAAGAGCGTTCTAGTGGCCAAGATTTCTCAGAATATCCACACTTGGCTACCGGATTCTCACTTAGTTCTAAGGTACAAGGGGTATACATGTAAATCCATGTTCTATATATCAACCTAACCTTCTTTCAGATACACCAATTTAACAGCTATGAGTTCCGATGTGACCTCAATTCTGGGATCAATTACGGAACAAATTTCGGTGCTGGTAAAAGGTGAACCAACTCGGTGCCATCATGTAAGAATATGCCATAACTGATTTTTTCCAAACCACTGTATCTCACAAGATTTCTCTGCCTCCTGTCTTTAAGACCATCGAATCCTACTCGGAAACGCTGAAGCAGTTGATCGAGAGCAGCAAACAGCAGATAACAATTCTAATCGATTCGATAGACAGTCTACGCGACTTAAATGAGCTCGATTGGTTGCCGCTAGAACTGCTGGAGACTGTGAAACTGGTTCTGACCGTATCGTCGAGCTGCACCAACCAGGATCAGTTTGGAACGGAAGACGTTGTTCTAAAGCGGCTGAAGGAGAAGATTGGTGATGCCGAAAGTTTCCTCTATCTGACTCCGTTCACCCAGGAACAGTGGGAGGATGTGCTGTGCTTCGGCGGTGGTGACATTTACTCGGCAAACGGCGCTTTACAGTTACCTGATAGTTGGAAAAAGTCAAACGAGAAGATTTCTATTCAAGCTAAGGTATGGTGCATACATTGCAGAATTGTGAGGACCGGAAATGCATTGAATTTGTTTTTTTCGTGTTTTAGATACTTTGGTGGCTAGCTTGGCTTGGAGTCACAGATCTCTCGGACACATCGGTGTCGCACATTAGTGAGAAGGTGTTTGTGATTCTCGAGGAAAAGTTCACAGGCGTTATTACTAGGTTCATTATCTCGTTAATGCTAGCGGCCAGGGAGGGTCTACTGGAAACAGAGATTACTACGCTTATTAGGAATTCTAATTTAGTTACGGGTAAGTATTTAAGTAAATTAACTGGCTTTATATAGGTCTTTTAGAGGAAACGGGAGCTTGTTGGAGGGATTAGCATCCATTTTTTGTCTTCTAACCTATTTCCATATTTTACTGTTAACAAGTACTATCGCTATTCTTATGGGAAATTTTCTTAGCTACTACTTTGAAAAAGATTATTTTTCAGCCAAACGTCAAATTAAATAGTTATTAATTGTTTAAGAGATAGATAACCTTATGGCATGATCAAGCAGCTGAATTGTGGGCAACACTGTACACTGGAGTCGCTTTTTACGCGGGTGATACGTCCCGCGTAAAAAAAAAACGCGTAAATTCCGGAATCCGCGTAAAAAAAACCGCGTAAATTCCGAAATCCGCGTAAAAAAAAACCGAGTAAAAAAAGACCGTGTAAGAAAAAACCGCGTAAAAAGCGATATACCGCGTAAATTCTGAAATCCGCGTAAAAAAAAACCGCGTAAATTCCGAAATCCGCGTAAAAAAAACCGCGTAAAAAAAACCGTGTAAAAAAAAACCGCGTAAAAAGCGACTCCAGTGTATTCTGCAGTGTGACATAGTAGCCATGATTTTTGTCCTGTATTCTACGCGCCAGAAACATCAATGTTGCCTGCTGAACAGTTGATTGAGCATCATCATAAGATATCAGTGACGTGAATCATTCATAACTTTTGTTCCTTACATTTGTTCGAAATGTGGTCTTGAACGAAGTTGTAGCTGAGAAAATTTTCAACAAGCGCAGCTATAATTTTCTTAACCAGAGTGAACTGGTGAATTTTTAGATAGATATGAACAAACATTTTGGTTTTCCCATATTAGTTTCCATTTAAACATCAAACGATTTGTGCCAAGTCAGTCTCTTACTAAAAAAGTTCAAATTTTGGGAGGCTAATCAGGACCTAATTCCGAACTGTTTGAGCACTGTGGAGCGAATCAAATTTTGCATCAGTCTACTTTATATACGACAATAATAATGTTTTACATTTCTGAAAATTTATGATTTTTTGCTAAATGAATTTCCAGTGGGTTGTTGCAAAATAGCAGAAAAAATTTTAGATTCTCAAATTTTACAAAATGTCACGAGGATATTGAAATTTGATTAGGGATTAAAACAGGTAAGTGGATATAACATGAGCAATGGGCGTTGACATTATCCAAATGTAAACGATTGAAGAGGTAGAAATGTAGAAAATGATGTTGTAGTGTAACAACAATATTTCGCAGGAACATGATGTCAAATTGAATCAATCAGTATACATAGCAATTTTAAAATTGCACGTACCTATATGACCTCTACTTTTGTAGGTAGAAGATATTTTTTTATATGCGGTGTCAAGTGAACATTAAAAAAAACAAATTTGATATATATATGCAGTGATCTATTTGTAGATCAGCATTTTTTTTTCTTACATCATGTCATGTCAGAAATTAGGAACATAAATCATCCAGAATAATCCTTGAAATATCCTTAACATTCCGTTTTGAAATAGTGCAAGAATAGTCCTTGGCTAACTCCTGGAAATATCGTGCATTGTCCGGAGGCCAAAAACGACTTAGGCGTTAACGGGTTAAGACACCGCCGCACAGTGGTCACAGTAGCATCTGGGCCTTTGTTTGGTGACATCCATGTGTTTCGGAATTCAGCCGCTAGGGTGGCCCTGTAACTATCTTTTTAACAAAGCATCATAGAAGGATGGTGTATTCGGCAAGTTTTTAGAGCAAGTCAATATCTAAAGAGAGATAGAGAGAAGGATTAGTATTTTCCATTTAATTCTACTACTTTATTTACTTATCCTTGACAGATACGCGTATTTCGTCTACAATGTGCAGACTTCTTCAGTGTCTTGTACTCGTAATAGTACAAGACACTGAAGAAGTCTGCACATTGTAGACGAAATACGCGTATCTGTCAAGGATAAGCAAATAAAGTAGCGGAATTAAATGGAAAATACTAATCCTTCTCTCTCTCATTATACAGGTATTCCACTAAGACGCCCACATTCATCAGGATTCAAGTCAATGTCATTTTGAGCAACTCTTCTACAACTGAAGATACTAGTTATGTATGTCCTGTAGATTTTTAGATTTTGAGATTTTTTTAAATTTAATGTCGATGGCTTATTTTTACCCAAAACTCCCCTATTTGTAGTTTTATGGTGAACCTTTATTCTGCATACTTCTCCGCACGGTGTCTCTGTGACCGTTATTATAAAACAAAAATGTCCATAAAATCTGTGTATACCAGTCTATAGAGTTGGTCAGCCAAAGTAATCTTTGAGAAAATCGTCCATCGAGGGTTCACGAGGCATCACAATTTCAAGATTTTATTAGCTAGATGGTTATCGTCGGTGTTCAGGGCTGACTTCGAGCAGGTTATACAGATGTGCACTACGTTGTCGTATACCTCGAGAAATCATTGATGTTGGTTCTGAGCGGTATCGAGTGTAAAACCGGCTATACCAGGCTTGGCTGCGATTGTACCCATAATGGAACTTGGCTGCCTGCGGGAAGTGTCCGTATCCTTCTCGTAATCCAGTGTGTTGCGTTGCATACGACCAATGAAGTTAACGAGCTGAGGTCGTGCTGCGGGTTGTAATCGGCTGTGGAATCACGACCGATGTGCCGACGGATGATTTCGGCAAAGCGGCAACTGAAGCAGCTTGACTTTGATTTTTGGCGAGTGATTGCAGTGCGAATTGGTGCTATTTGGAAGTGAGTTTATCGTTCGAAGCGGTTACAAGTGGTTCAATATCATCAACGATATGACGATAGGCGGGGTATGTGCGGTATCGAACATGGCGGATTGATATTTTGTGAGAGGTTTGGCGAATTTGTATAGCGATTGTGGGAATGAGGGGGACTCTCCTGGTATCGAATTGGTGGAACGACGGATAACCGGCGGAATGTGCCCGGTGATAGCGGAGTAAAACGAATCGAATGTCCAATGAGTGGGAGCGGACTCCGCGGGAACGATTTCCCTGAATTTCTGCGAATCTGATAGCTGAAGCGAAACTGATTGGTTTGCAGTGGTTCGTCGTCTTATGCGACCTGTGATCGTCCAGCCGAAGGACGTTTCGACGAGCAGTGGGAGCCCATCTTCCAAGGAGAGTCTACTACCAGTGTGTAGTTTGTTGTACAGATCACAATCAATCATCAGGTTGGTATGTCGAACTGCGGATCAGCTAGTGGTTTGTTTGGAATTTTCCATGACTCAACGTTATTTGGAGTGGATGGAAGCTTCAGGTGTTGTGGTGCTATCAGCAGAAATTCGAGCGTGGTGGAGATCGGAGTGGATTTGGGTTTGATCGTGGGTGTCAGCTTGCGATTTATTTGCACTGACTGTCCGACTACTGCGACAGAAATGTTGATACCAGACGTTTTACCGTGGATGTTATTGGCAAAGCTGGTTGACATGAGGTTCGATGCTGATCCGGAATTGAGAAGCGTTCTTGCGGGATGTACCATTCCAAACTGATCGATGACCATAAGACTAACTGTCTCGAGAAGAACGATGCTGCTTGCCATTCCAAAGCTTGGATTCGCCGATTCAGAAGCGTTCGATCTAGTAGTTTGCTAAGAATCAGTCGGAAACGTGGAACCATGAGAAGTGGATTTGATCTCATGCTAAGAGGAAGAGGAGACAATAGGGGGATGTCGTGACCGGACCGAGGTTTCCAGCCTCGGTCACGGCTACACGAATCTCGGCTGATCTGCTTCCAGTACTGCTGTTTTATTACTGCTGCTGCTCCTGCTGCTGCTGCTCCTGCTGCTGCTGCTCCTGCTGCTGCTGCTCCTGCTGCTGCTGCTCCTGCTGCTGCTGCTCCTGCTGCTGCTGCTCCAGCTGCTGCTGCTGCTGCTGCTGCTCCTGCTGCTGCTGCTCCTGCTGCTGCTGCTGCTGCTGCTCCTGCTGCTGCTGCTCCTCCTGCTGCTGCTCCTGCTGCTGCTGCTATTTGGTCTCCGTTGCTTCCAAAGTTAGTTACAAGAATGACCTCTACGAGCTTAGGTCGCTCGTTTTTATATCTTCGTGCTGTGTCAGAATTTCCCCTCACTAAGCATGAGATTTTGTTCGCATCTCTCTATTATCACTTCTGCCATGCTTCACTCTAATTTAGTTTAACTCAAATTGAGTATTTCATTACTTGACTCACCTCTCAAGTTTTTATTTATTTCATAATTATTATTCCACACCAACTCTATCTACCACAGGGGACTTTTATAAACCAATTTTCTGTTAAACACGAACAAGCCGTAGATAGCTCTGTAGCTTTGAGACGTTCTGTTGCAGAGCTTCTCGGGTCGGTTTATCCGGGGCACGTTCATCGTTTTACGGACGGATCGCGGTCGCGGGCTGGAGTTGGACTCGGAGTGGCAGGACCGAACACTGCAACGAATCAAAGTCTACCGGAGGAGGGTTCCGTCTATTCCGCTGAAGCCGCAGCTATTCTAGACGCAGCCATCACTCCGGAAGATCAACCGATCCTCGTATTAACTGACTCACACAGCGTCATCCAAGCGCTGGAAGCCGAAGCCCCGAGCCACCCCTGGATACAAGCTATTACACGGTACGCCCCACCTTCAACCGTCTTTACGTGGATCCCCGGACACTGCGGTGTTCCCGGAAACGAGGCTGCGGACAGACTGGAGGAATCCGACGCATCCCGTCCCCGCTGCACCAGGAACGTACCTCTCCTCGGCGTTGGATTGTGAATACCATTATGGAAGCCTGGCAGCAGGAATGGTTCCAGTCACGGACCACTTTCCTGAGGAAGATCAAGGGAACCGTACGCTCCTGGCCGGACAGCCAAAAGTACAAGGACCTGCGGATGGGACACCTTTCCGCAAGGTCTGTTCAATCTGCAGCATCCCCGCCTCGGTGGAACACGTGCTGTGTGTCTGCCCGGAGTTCCAGAAGCTACGCGGACAACATGGACTCCCGGAGAACGTCAGTAATCTGCTTTGTTACGATCCCTCGACGTTGGCTGCGCTGATCGCCTTTCTGAACGCGCACTTGTATGACCAAATCTAGCCCCCCGTCGGTGGCTGCACTGATCGTGTGTTCCTCACGTTTCTATTTTTTTTTCTGCCGTAAAGGTTTCTCCGCCGAACCGGCACTGTCTCCTACGGTGGAGCTCTACTTTGTTCGCGCACCCAGTCCGCACCATAGACCCGATCTAATCCTCACCTTACATCAAGTTTTTAAAACGTTGTCTGTCTCATTCGTTGGGTAATCAGAGCCGGTTATACGTCACGTTCATGTCAAATTGAAACCTATATTTTAGGCAGGATGAACTACGGCTAAAAATCACGGTAATAAAGAAAAAAAAAAAACCTTAGATTGGCTTACATTGCCTGCTGAGGTGACCGGAAAACATGCAATTCCAGGAAAGCCTGTGCTTGGAAGCTATTACTTGGCGATGAGAAACAGTCATCTGGTAGAAAGCCGATCACTGGTAAATCGTGTGACTTTCGGAACAAACGACGTAACAGCTGGTATTTCTTAGTGTAGTTGTTGCAGCGGTGCGTCCGGCTGATTTCGGAGCGATCTTGCCGGTCACCTTCATCGATCTGGATTGAGAACGGCAGTACATCTCGGAAACCACAGACTTTAGGATGCGGATCCTCTGGTACAGGAATTCTACCATTTCCTCGTACTTCACGCTATTCTGGCCACTTGTCTTCTCCTCGAAAGCTTACAGAGTTGTCGGGTCAAGCTTGTACGCCAGTCTGCTTGTCAGTGGTGTGTCCCAGTGATTGATAGGATCGCCTAAATTCTCCAGTGCCTTGACGTGACGCTGGAAGTCATCAACCAGATCGTGTAGGTCCTGTGCCAATTCCTTGAGTACAATGGCTCGGAAGAGTTGATGTTTGAGGAGTCGTTTGTTGTCAAACCGTTTTAAAAGTCTATCCCAGACTGTCGTATAGTTGTCCGCTATGATATCGATGCTTTCGAAGGTTTTATAAGTCTCACCTTCGAGCGATTGAAGCAGATATTAAAGTTTGGCTACCGTTGGGATGCCGTTGTTGCTGTGCGTATCCAGAAAAGCCATCCATCGGAAAAAATCACCATCTAATTTCGGAAGGTCGATCTTTGGAAGACGGAGATGGAAGACCGATGCTTGCTGTTGAACTATCGTAATGTTGAGCAATGACTCGTGCTGATCTTCGGATCATTTCGAGAGCAGAAACCCTTTTGTAACGCATTTGCGAATTCTCGAGACACGTTCCGTGAGATGATCCAACGCTTCTGGATCATCGTACCTCTCGATTTCTCCTTGGATCTCCAAAAATGTGTTGTACGCCTTATCCAAGACATCCAGAAGGAGTTGGACACGTTCTTCGTTGACCATCGCAAGTGTGGCTTGACAGCCTTTCCGCGAATAAAACGCGAACCAAACTCGAAAACGAACTAGTATGTCTCCTTACCGACGCGGACGGCACCGTATGTGATAAAGAGTCACACATTATCTATATTTTTTGTAAAAAATACAACACTGAGAGTTTCAATTTCGTCAATGGAACGTCAATGGATTTATTTCGTCATCATACGGATGAAGGCCAAACTAGAATGGAAAATGGATTCGTTTATTTTGTTTTTGATAATACATGGTGTAAATACTCATATTGTTATGTTGTAGCTTTTAAAGAATAGTATCGTACCAATCATATAATTGAATCGTTTACGCCGAAATTATAAAAAAAAAATATATTCGATGTTTTCTGCTCGATAGGACAAAAATGGGCTCTTAAGCCAAACTAAATGTTTGCCCTATTCAATAGTTTCACGAAGGCCCTAGAGTTATTAATGGGAATTTGCATTGCAGATGTTAGATGTGTTGACGTCATTAACAACCCTTTAAATAACATATTTGACACCTTTTGCTATTTTTTTTACTATTTAGACAATTAAATGTTTTTATATATATGGTCGTGCCCAGTTTGGTATGATTAAACCGAAACGGTTCTTTTGGTTTTTTACTTAAGGAAAATGTACTTGCTATTGAGATTTCAGCGGCAGCCAGATTGAATCACACTTGGGCTTTTTTTTATCATTTCTCAGGGTCCACAACCAAGCTATGGACGCATTTCTGCTGGAAGATGGGACCATTACTTTTGCACAACAAAAACATAATCATAGTGGACAAAACGCTCAGAGAGGTAGCTAGGAAGCGATACGACACGGACATTAAAGAAGCGCACAAAACTCTGTATGATTATTTTGAGAAACAACCGAACTGCTACACCGATAAGAAGGGAAAGGAGAGAAGGTATGGGGGTTGATTTCATCAAATTGAGTAAATCACATTTGAGCTCGGTTGGTTATTTCAGCTTCAACATTAGAAAATTCGTAGAACTACCATACCACAAGTACAAGCTACAAGCCAGCGGAGAATCCTTCGCTACGTCGTCGTTCTTAACCGACCTGAGCTGGCTTCACGAAAAACTTACTGCTACCGGATGTGTTCATTTGCTGAATGATATTTGTTTGGCGAACAGTGGCGGCAGTCCAGCGTTCGGTCATTTGGTGCTGTTGAAGAAGTTCATCGAGGAGAATTTCAAGGCACTGAACTACGATGGCCAGCAGTTGTTTTCACTATTGTACGTGTGTATAGAGGCGAAAAATAAGGTCGAAGGTTCGAGCTTGGCTGGAAACGAAGTTCTGAAGAAGTGGCGTGATTTCATCGATTCCAGTCCGGTTACATATTTACAGAAGTTGGAATACAGTGAACCGAGCGTGACGGAAGATGGAGCGGAGAAGAAAGATACAGATAAGATGCAGGCTACAATGGGGTATGATTTGATAATGAATTTGAACATAGATGGGTTCTTCGTTATCTCGTTGAGTACGGACCGGGAGGAGATTTGCGTGTGGGACGTTGCGAAGTAAGTCTCGGTGGGGGGTGGATTATAGATGTCTTGGATCAACTGACAATGTCTTTGCTTGCAGGTGCAGCAAAGTGCGAACACTGCTGGGAGTGCCACAGCCATCGGCAATCTGTCCGGTCGGTGAGAATGGTGTCGCTGTACTATGTAGGAGAGAAATCAGGATCGTAAATCTAGACGAAGGCAAGTTCAAGGTCACACTAAAAGGTGTTATGAACCAAAAGATGCCATATTTTGGACTGCACGATGCATCCCATTTGGTGTGTTTGTCCAGGAACCGAATGTATGTAAATCTAATGAATATCGATTCTGGTGATTGCGTGACTACGTTCAAGGCCGGTGAAGATAGATTCCTTAATTCGCTGTTGGTGTCCGGAGATGGAAGGTAGTTGATGATTATTTATCTCTAGTTAAGGTTGCTAATATATCTTTTATTCGTCAACAGAATTCTGGTTTGTGGTGACGAAACTCAAAAGCCCTTCCCATTACTCGTGTGGCATTTATCGCAAAAGAAGCTGTTATATGACCTGAGAATACCCCACCATGACTTCATCACATCGCTATCGGCCATTACACACGAGGGATCGTACGTGTGCGTAGTGGCCAAAGAGCTAGCCGAACCTAGTCCGAATTTCATCGTTGTGTACGATTTACAAAGTGGAACACTGTTCAAAAAATGGAAACCATCTTGCAATACCGTGTCGTTGGCGATTTCCCAAACCAACACGTGCGTCATCGCTGGGCTAGAGGACGCCCGGATTCTGATATGGGATCTGGTTACAGGTGAGTAGCTACCTATCGCTTGATGTTCAGCAATATTGTAGGAAAATATTCCGCAGGGAACTGCCGGTGCACATTGAGCGGTCATAATGCACCAGTGACGCTGTTGAAGCTGGATCCATCGGGTAAAATGTTGCTGTCTGGTGATAAAGAAGGTCGTGACATGTCCATCCGGTTATGGGAACTGGACAGTGGCAAGCTGCTGGCCGTTTACACTCCACAGGAGAAGATCACGACTTGCGAGATCCTCAACGGAGGACAGTATCTGGCGATCGCGCTCGAAGGCCGAACCAACATCATATCGCTGAAGTTGCGGGGTGGCGGAGTTGCCGAGCCGGATAAATCCAAGGAAGCGATTGTCTACGGAAAACAGGAAAACTGCGGGAAGGTGTTCGATTTGAAGCAGTAAATCGATAAGGTTTGGGATTATGTTCTCTAAAGAGGTTTTTTTTCTTCAATGTGAATGAGGTGAAAATGCCATTAGAACCAAAAATTATCGGAGTAGTGCATATTATCAGTTTAAATAGCAACTTCTGGCGATTTTCTTCATTCAATTGATCTTAAAATGCGAAATCGTTGCTAGTTGGTTAAAGTTATAAATTCAGTAGGTTTGACGATAAGATTCCAAATCGGGTTCGAGCTCTTCTTCGTGTTTTCAGGGAATGAATATGGTTCAAACAGATGGAGATTCCAACGATAATGATGAATATAGAAAGGATATGACCAATTTCTATATCTATCATAATATATCATTCAAACTTATTTTTTTGCCGAGATTTGCACAGCTGAGTGCTCGGCAATCTGTTTTACTGAGATCTCAGCAAAAGTGACGTTTGGTTGCTGAGTCTTGGAAAATGTTTTGCTGAATCTTAGCAAACAAACGGCATGTTGACAAACGATGTGCAAATCTCGGTAAAAAATTACCGAGCTGGCAAAAAAAAATAAGTGTGTTGTTCTAGGTCTATTGCATGGCTTAGCGTCTAACACCATCTTCATGTGGTTTTCATTTTCAATGCGAATCAATTTTTTCAACGAGGTACGAAAAATCTTTATACGTCCTCAGAGGCACAAAGGTTTTTGGTGAAATGGCGTTCGGTGAAGTGGCATTCGGCCAACTGGCTACGCTCTTGTATCAACAGACTAGTTTGGTGTCCAAATGATAAAAAGTTATCTTAAAACTAACAATACTTGTCTTTTAAGAAAGTGGCGTGACATGTCAAAATCAAAAACTGAAGAAACTTGGTTGAACGTCCGTTTGAGGGGGCAGCCATAAGTATGCACCTTTAGAATTGATAAAACGATCCATAAAATATTGAAAAACATTCTTTAAAAACATACAAATGCTCCATAAAACAGCGCAGGAAATCTCATAAAAAGAGTGAATGATCCTTAAAAAATATCAATATGATCCATATTTTGTGTAAAATTTAGCAACACAATTGTAAAAATGTACCGCTAAATTTCTAAAGAATGAGAATTGAAATTACACGAATTACCCATAAACACATTGAAAATGATCCATAAAACATTCAGCAATGAAACTTAAACTAATGAAGTGATCCATTGAAAATCAAGCTTGCGCACTTAAAAATATAAGCACGATCCATAAATTAGACATATATTGTTCATGTTTTGGACACTTTTTTTTTTTTAATTTCATCCATTAACCTTGGAATATTGCCCCATTACTGCGTAGCTAATCTGGTTTAATCTTCTTCCCGTGTTTTTTTAGTCAGAAGAGCGGAGCGTCTAGAATAAGCATCGTAAAGAAGCTTATAAAATATTCCCTAGGATGTTTCTTAACACTCCGAACACGATGCAACTGGTAAAATGTGTAATGAAAAATTGGTAATGTTTGCAAAATCATTTCTCAGCAATTTATCAATAGATTTTAAACCTATTCATACCGAATAAATTTTTAAAATCTTTAGTTTGAAGTGACGCCCATAGCTTTGAAATTCGTAAATAAATAGCTGAGCTATGATTTTTCAAACATTACAAGTTTGCCGTTACACATTGGGACCAGAGGCATCGTGTTCAGAGTGTTAAAAGATTATTATAGAAGCTTTTTTGTTAAGCTTACCCGTCGCTTCGCACTTCTAACTAAAAACACGGGTATGCCAGTAAATCTAATTAGCTACGTAGTAATGGAACATCTTTTCAAGGTTTTTGGAACAAAAGTTAGTGTCCAAAACATGAACAGTATATGTCTAATTAATTTTTTTTTTTCCTTTGGTTTGTTTTTTCCGTCGATCTTGTTTTCCGTGCTGAGCACCAATGCTACCGACGTGCCAGGAAGGCAGCTCCCACACCTGGACCCTACCTATCGACCCATCAACTCATGAACCGGGGACCAACGGCTTTACTTCCCATCCGAAGGAAGGCGTGATCAGAGATGTTATGCCTCAGAACATCCCGGCGGCGCCGGCTGGGATTGAACCCAGGCCTGCTGGAGTGAGAGGTAATCACGCTTACCACTACACCACCGGCGCCGTTATGTCTAATTTATGGATCATGGCTATATTTTAAAGAACGGAAACTTCATTTTCTATGGATAACTGTCATTAGTTTAAGGTTAATTGCTGAATGTTTTATGGATCATTTGTAATATGTGTATGGGTAATTCGTACAATTTCAATGCTCATTCATTCATTTTTACAATTGTGTTGCTAAATTTTACTGAAAATATGGATCATATTCATATTTTTTATGGATCATTCATACATTTTAAGGGATTTTCACTGGGGTTTTATGGATCATTTGGGTGTTTTTTAAGGAGCATTTTTAAATTTGTTATGGATCATTTATTGTTTTTTTTTTTTATAATCAAAAGCATGTTTTCCGTTGGAGGGCGATTAGCCCGGAATTCGCCGTAGTTAGTTCTCCTGAGTGGGATCCTGAGAAGAGAGTTGCCTCGAAGCACATGGGATCGAGCTTGAACAGGGCAGGATAATAGATACGGTCGGTTAGAATATCAGCGATGACAAGTGCCTTAGTCACCTCACGTCGTGTTTGGAGGGTGTCCAGCTGGATCATGAGGCAACGGCTTTCGTAGCTCGGTAGATTAAAGGGAGCAAAAGGCAATCTTTGGAGAGCGTAGCTGATAAAACGCCGCTGTACCAACTCGATTCGTTCAACCCCATTTTGGAAATGAGGCTTCCAAACTGGAGTAGCATATCCTAATGTCGTTCGTACCAGGAAGCAATATAGTGATTTCAGGCAGTAATCATCTTGGAACTCTTTTGCTACCCGAAAAATGAAACCAAGGTTTCGTGAGGTTTTCGTGACTACGTACGACACATGCGGCTTGAACGTGAGTATTTCGTCAAGAATCACTCCTAAATCTTGAACCTGGTTTTCCCTCTGCAATTGAGTGCCCATCAAGGAATAGCCGAAATTTAACTGGGTCATTTACTAGGATTCAAGGGCATGCAATTCATCTCACACCATCTTTAAATTGTCTCCAGGTCGTCTTGCAGCTCTATAGCATCTTGTAACGATTTCACGTGCATGTAGATTTTGAGATCATCAGCAAAGGATAAACGATGGGATTTCAGTAACAGGTTGATATCGTTGAAATACAACAGGAAGATCAATGACCCAAGATGGCAACCTTGAGGAATACCAGACAGAGCGGGGAAGGGAATTGACAATTCGGCACTAATTTTGGCTCTGATGCTTCTACCACAGAGATACGATCTGAACCAATGCAGTAGGGAACCACCGAGGGCAAGCCTTTCCAACTTTGCCACAGCAATATCGTGCTTGATTCTGTCGAATGCTGCCGATAAATCCATATATATATGACGTCAGTTTGCGATCCACTACAAAACCAGCCAGAGGCGTTTTTGTAGCCAAGTTATTAACGAAAGAGAAAATTGATGAAGAGAATCGATCAATATAAATAGGTCTATATGCGTTGTTTGGATTGAAATATTGTTATTGAAGTCAGAAAAAATACAACAAAGAATTAAAGCGTTTTTCGATATGTAACTGATCTGAATGGTTTTCCAAAAGCCATCTTGATACTTCAAATATTATTTTTAGGTCAAATGTATTTTAACTGGAGATCAAAAGACGCCTCCCGAGCAAAGTTCAGCATCTAAATGACAGCAAATCGAAATCAAGTTTTGATATCAACATCAAACTGAAATCATAATTTGATTTCAGTTTACGCAATGGACAAATTTGTTAACAAATTTTGTTTTCATTTTGCTGTACATTTGCTCTTCAAAAATATAATTTAGCATAACATCAAATTGAATACTTGTTTTGTTATCAACAGAAGTAATGTACATCAAATTGAGTTTTCAGTTTGCTCTCACTGATAGCAGAAATTGTTTTCAATGTGATGTCACAGGAAGATTTATTTACTCTCAATTTTGATATTTTAACCGTTAAAACGACCAAAACGATAGCAACCCTAGTAATCATTATCAGCAAAATCGCAACATCAAATTTAGTTTTCAATTTGATCCCAGACTTTGCTCGGGCTCCCTGCTACTAGATTTCCATTGGCTTTTAATCGCCAATGGGCAATCGGAATACTTTGGTGATTAGAATATAAGGAATATAATAATACTAATAATAATAAAGAGAACCCAGATGAAGAAAGTCCAAACGATGAAAAGATTCACCAAGTATGTTGCTATGACATAGTCTTTAGATCCTGGAAAGACGAGTATTGTCGTTTTTTTTTGTAAGGAATAGTGCAGATGGTTATTATTTAGATATAATTTTATTTGATTAGGATTACGGTCTTTTTTATTATAATATTCCTCGTTGAGTTCATACTGAGCATTGATTCTGAGAACGTGACATCCATGCCGTGATGCAGAACTTAGCAAGGATTCAAGCTTATGTTTCACCTCGACTGCGATCATTTCTCAGAGTTTGCTTTTTCCTTTCGTAATTTTGAATTTTCAATCTGGACTTTTCCATGATAATCACAGCATTTGGTTGATCCAACCAGCATTTTTTTTTACCTTCCCGTTCAAAGCAGTTCCGCGGAGGGTTGTGATACGTGACACGTTTAATGAATTACTCGATGTGCTGGAAATATGCACGTATGCGAAATTGTCGGCAGCAACTAGACGCTTACCAATGATTCGCGACTTTTTGACAGATACAATAAAACGACAACCGAAACGATGAGGAATGAAGAAAATAACAGTCTTCGACAATCTCAATCTGAAACAAACAATTTGCCGGACTACTTTGTCTGTCAAAGTGTTTTGACGAAGCAAAGCAACGCACATCATGTCGCATCATATTTTGTCAGTTAACATTTCAATTGGGGTTTCGTCAGTGAGAATCGAAAAATGTAGCAAGTCCGTTGTCACGTGATATTGATGAAATAATGCAGCACTGCATCAGAACTAGTAAACCAATATAAGTGTAGAAAAGGCGTATGGGAATGCAGGATGTGTAGATTGGGCATCGAATTATTTTCTGAGGTGCTGTACAAACAGCATGAACAGGCAAGAGTTTCATTCTCTACTGCGGCCTCCTTCATGATGTGCTTTTCAAGAGGGAGTGGTTGTCCTAAAATTAACTCCGTCATCTTGTTGTTCATCACAGATAAAAATTCGGAATTTTAATTGTGATGTAAACTGAATGTTCACGTAAACTTGAATTTCATTTCACGCAACCGAGCAACTTGTAAATATTGTTGTATACAACGATGCGCTTTTGTATACAATATTTGCTACATTGCATGAAATGTGTCAGAACTTTACATGATATATAATGTAAACGTATATGATATGTGACGCTCCATTTATGTGCATCATATACAGAAATTTCCACTACTTTTTCGAACTCTGTTGTTAATTAATTCTTTATTTTAACGTCTTTGTCCTTCTTCTTTGGTTGTCACCAATTTTGCCTTTCAAGACAGGAGTCCAACTAGTGTGGCTTTGATTTACATGCAGAGCGCTTGCTTTTGTAGTATTCATAGTATTTATGTTATTATAATTTGTTCACCCTTTTCAAGAATACTGCAATGAGTCGTCGCGTAAAGTCTAGCAAGTCCTCTGAATAGATGTATATTATTTTCGACGATACTTATTATTCTTCTTGCATAATACCCACTAGAAACGATTTCGCTGAGCATTAGAGAGATGAAAAATGATTTGACAGTATTTGTTTCCATTCTATAACTCAACTTATGCAATTCACAGCAAACCAACAATGCATTCGTAGCAGCAAATCCATGAAATATAGGAAAATCGATACCAAAACCTATACTCGGACCGTTAGTGCACCTCATAGTAATAGGATTTACCTGACCCCACTCGAAACTAACACCTGCGAATATATGTACAAGCGCCAAAATTATAGAAGCAGTTCACCAATGAATCAAACGCTGCATTCGTCGCTAAATCGGAGAAATAGTTAAAACATATGCAAATCTTAAATACCGTTAGCCCTAATTCATGATCAAATTACAAAAACAAAAACAAATACATTATATTAAACACCCATACACCCGGAACAGTTGAATAGAACTCTGTGAGCAGCTTCCACTCAGTGTAATTATTTGAAGCAAATGCGATTGGAAAGTGGACAATTAATGTAAACATAACTTGTAGCAGCGCTAGCTCAAGCATCAAATATCCAAGCTAAAGAGACGGTAAGCAAACAGCATTTCACTATTAGAATATACAGTAACATGGAACACTCGGAAAATGAACACAGCAAAAACCAGTAGAATCATAAGCGTACAGAGAATGTGTCTAAAACATAATCATTAATGAGTAAGAAGCAAACAAATACAAAATAAAAATCCTTGTATTATTATGTGTGTGCATGGAACAAACGAAGAAGGATCAGTACGGCAGATACTATATAGTTATAAATCATTCGAATTGAATCACTATCTAGGCTAAGGCGGAGCGATAGATTTTGAGCAATTGTAGAGAGAAAAAATGGTGTACGGTATAGAAACAGGAAGTCTCATCGTTTCCACAATCCACACAAACAAACCCCCAAACGTACACTGCAATGAAATGAATCGCACTAAATTAAATAAAAAAAATAGTCGAAGCTCATAAAACTCTATTGTTCTGTTCCTCATATGCACACAAAAAAGTGTGATTTTGAATACTGTACTATCTTCCCGTCTATCTCATAGGTTGTCTATTGTCATTAGGCTTCCATTTTGGATTAGTGATTGTCTACTTTTTAGTAGAATTCATTAGGTTAGGCAGCACAAATAATGTACAATCAGTTTTATTACTATTTTCCGCTATTTTGTACACAACAACTTACAGAATTTTTACACTTACTTTTTCAACTCCATATGCACAAAAACCAATACAGAATAGTGTCACCATTGTTCAGAGCCTCCAACCAAGTAAAAGTGTGAATAAGCGTCCAACAAAGATTGGTGCATCATGTTGGAAGTCAGCTGAGAATCTAATAGCCCATAGTCCAATAGATCGTCGTTATAGCATATTTGTGTGAGTGTTGTATTTTATTTATACCGAGTTCCAGCTATCCACAAACAAAGGAGAAACATAAGTCAAATAAAACAACCACAACTAATACAAAGATGAAACTGATGAAGCAACCGAAAATACCAAAGCATACCTTAGTTACAAGCAAAACTGTAACAAGTAGCGAACAAACAAACAAAGAAACCACAAAAACTAGTAGAAGCTCTCATCTGGTATGAGGAATAAGGCTGGTCCTTTAAAAAAACCAAAAGTGAAAAATGAAACAAACATACATCGTTAGGCAAAACAACAATGACTTTAGTGTTTTAAATGATTTGAAACATAAGGGCAAACCAAAAAAGGTAGATAGTTCGACACACCTAAGAGCTACACAATCAAGCAGTACGTATAAGACTTAAATTGACCACATTTATCAAACTCCTTCAAACCGTTCGATGAACACAAATTACAAGCTGTGACCAAAATCACCACACAAGAATTCGATCAATTCAATCTATATCCCGAGAAACGAGTTACAAATGTAAAAGGTATCAAGGACTATTCACCAGAATGCCATACCATTCAATTTCATGCCATTCAAACTGTGGAGCACGATAGGAGAGTAGTTCAGAATGGAAACTCAGAGTCCAATTCTAGCAGCAGTCAACAGAATCGAATCGGAAGGAATCAATGATTACATTCTTACAGCTCTCAGAACTGTAATGAGACATGGAACAAAATGACGCCGAAGCTGTGCTGAAGTAAACGTTCAAAATCTATGCCATTTTTGATGTAAAATCTTTTAAGTCATATTGTATTTGTTACTTTTAATTTGTATGTGTGTATTATTATATAACAGAAACAGAGAATCTGAGAAAAATATATATACAACAACAATGCTATCGATGCTACCGGATATAATATATCTAGTTGATTTGTTTTTGCTTTATGAGAAAATATCATGATTTCGCTGAACACAGAATGAAGCGCGTCGACCAAAGACTTGAGCAATGATGACCGAACAGTTCGTAGTTGATACTTTGCGATTGACCAGATCCAGCGAAATTTTTCATAAAGTACCAAATTAATGAGGATTTGGATTAGCAATCCTTTCTCAGTGTGCAAACTCCGGTGAATTAGTACTATCAGGATCAATAACGGGAGCGGACATACTGACATCGGGGAGGAGAATCATTGTCAGTTTTACTAGAGACCAACCCAAGTAACCAACAAGCCCGTTAATCGCCCTTTTTGCTATATAAGGCTGCTATACGACTGATATAAAGTTCGGAAACCCTATATTTACCATATATCGCAAAAAGGGCGATTATCGGGCAGTTAGCGGGCTTTGTGGTTACTTGGGAAGCATCCCAATGGCTGTCATGGGAAGGATGATATAGCTAGTGGGAAAGGAAGACCAGATGTTTGGAAAGTGGTGCGATCTTTCAAAGCCTGATCAAAAAAAGGTAAGGGTGTCCAAAGCACGACCGTATTGTTGATTATTTCTAGACCAACAATTGAAATAGGCGGAACAACCAAACGTAAACAATGGCTTTAATCGCAAATTCCTCGAGAATCAAAGCACATCCAAGCAATCTACCACCGTCATCTGATAGAGCAAACTTCCTTTATCGAATGGCATTGTTAGTTTGCGTGGAAGTGTTGTGATTCTCGAGAATTTTGTGTTTAAAGCCATTGTTTACGTTTGGTTGTTCCGCCTATTTCAATTGTTGGTCTAGATTTTTGGTGCTCCATTCACTAGTCCTATATTAAACAAAACATAACTCCAAAATTAACAATTCATTTTGTAAAAATAATATTTTTCGCGTTTTGTAATATTTTAACAGGACCCAAGCGGGAAATAATATTACCTATATTCTCAGTGAAAATCGGTCAATACCGCCGATTTATCCCAGGAATATAATTCTTTATGTAAACATTTGTGGTCCTTTGTAGAATCGATCTCCACTACGTTGTCCAAAATGAGCGTCGGTACGACATCGTTCTTAAGTTAAAGCCGATCCCACACCTGCCCGATATCATCCGGTCGCAGCGTGAATGTTCGGCACAACGGCAGAGAGAGTGAGAGGGAGAAAATTTACCTCTTGCTCCTGCTTGCTGCTTACCACGCCGTCCTGCAGAAATGAGCAGAGACACAAAAGCAGCGCTGTTTAAAACTTTTTAGGTTCAAGCAGAACGATGTGCAACCAAGTGGTACTCGACTATGATGACTGGGCTTGGGGAAAACGTTTATTTCATGAAAACAGTGATAAAATTATCTTTGAACATTTTTCAAAAGTTTGTTTGTGGAAATCGGAAAAGTATTTATTTCAGCAGATGTGTAGAGTTATTTCTAATCGATTGGCGTATTTGGATTTTATTTTCATAAATAAATTATTTTTAAAATGCTTACCCATCTCATCTAGTTGAAACGTACTGAATATTTGTGTTTTTAGGGGTGTTCAAACTTCTTCTGAAGAGATGGCATGCCTATTTTCACTCTGTCTTTATGGTTTTTCATGAATAGGCGATATATTGTCTTGAATTGGACCATTGACTATATTTGCCAATTTAGGACCACTGTTATGTCCCCGGGGAGCCTGGTGTAAGGTTCAATTGTAGTTTTTTTTTTCCTAAAACATTCCTTTGGACGGCTCCATATTAAGGGTTTTCCATGAATAGGCAATTTATAGTCTTGAAATTGACCATAGACTATGCAACAACCCCAAATTCAAACATCAATCCTTATAGCGAATTATTCGTAATGATTCTATAGAATGTTAACATTAAATATCAATTGCAACAAGAATGGTATAACTCAACTAAACGCATAATTAACGTAAGTCAGTTAGGCAAATTTTCATATCAGCAAAACGCGTGATAAAACTTGTTAACACAGATGATTTAGCCAAAGGACAAAATTTAGTTTAAGTATGAACGACTGAATATGTTTATCAATAGTACAAAGTAGGGTCTTAAGAAAGGCACAGTAGGAGTAAGAACAATAGTAAGAAGATCCAGTAAACAAAACTAGCAAATATAGAATAGATACCAGCGCATATCCTTGAGAAGAATCTCTTCAATATTATTCTCAAGCTGGTTAAGTAAGAGGGGATGCAAAGGCCTCAAAATCCAATATCAATCTGAGTAAGAAATTAACCAGTAATAGACCCCCATACGGTAGTAGAAAAATACACAACTTAACAGCAGCAGTGACAGTGTCGCACATTTCCAGGGTCAGTTGTTTATAAACAGTTGCTACCGCGTCGTCAGCGATGCGCGCTGGCTTAACTAGGTGCTTCGCGAAAGGTCAAAGTAAACATTGATGAGTAAGCATCCTACATAGCCGTTCCTACCGCGAGGAGCATTAATTCTTGTTAAAAAAAAAACAGACACCGACTTTCCAAGAGAAAAACTATCTGTCTCGCTTTATATGTACATACTGGAGAAAAACTATTGTGTAGAGTTTAAGTAACAAATTCATGTATAAAAGGTTTCGAAGAATAAAGAATCGGGGCAGTTGTTCTGATGAGTTATTATCCGAGGTTTGCTAGGTGCGGACGAGCACAGTTCCAACCTCAGGATAACTGATTCATCAAAGAGCTTTTTCCATACAGTAGAAATGGAATTACACTGTCTTTCATTTTACGGAGAAAGAAAGACCACGCGAGTTGTTGCTCTACGTTCGGCACTTCAACACGGGAGTGAAACATGGATGCGCAACGGAGTATGGGCGCTTCAGACTATATTGGCGACTCCAAGCGGCGCCGATATCTTCATGGTTTTACACGAATAAGCTAAATAGCTAAGACTATAGACTTGAAATGGACCATTGACAATATTTGCCGTTCCGAAACCATCTGAATACCCCAGGGGAACCTGTAGAAGGGGTTCATTGCAGTTTTTCACCAAAACATGCCTTTCGACCACTCTATCTTCATGACTTTTCATGAATAAGCTATTTATGGACTTTCAACGGCAATTGAGAACATTGGTCGTTACAGAGTTTTTCACCAAACTTGCCATTCGACGGCTTTATCTTCATGGTTTTTCATGAATAGGCTATTCATAGTATTAAAATGGACCATTGTCGTTTCGAGGTATTAACCTGTGCGTCCATTTACCGTTCTCCTGCTGCTACTTAGCCATCGGCACCGTTCTCACCATTTTTCAAAGTCCTCTGGTTTCTCTCCTCATATAGCACTCGTAGTCCTCCGCCAAGGTGATGCCGATTGGGATCATACCGGCGATAACACATACTGCCTCCTTCAAAATGGTTCTGTACGCACTCACGACTCGCATGGCCATGAGCCGGACCGTACTGCTCATTTTTCTTTGGTTCTGCTTCGTTTTCAGTGCTTCAATCCAGGCCGGACCTCCGTACCTTAGTATCGATGAAGACACACTAACCAGAAGACGCATCTTGCTGCTGCTTGGACCAGAATTGTTCGGCATGATTCTGGTTATTACGTTGATGGCCTTCTCGCAAGCATATTCGATGTGGCTGTTAAAGTTTAGCCGGTTGTCGATCATCACTCCCAGATACTTCAGCACGCGCTTCGAAACAATGGCGTGCTCTCCAACGGTGATTTCTGACCAACATCAGTTCTGTTTTGTGGTGGGCTATCTGCAGCTTCACTCCTTGCATCCAGTTACCAATCGTATCTACCGCCTCGGCCGCCAGTATTTGTACTTCTTCCAGGGTTTCACCTGTTACCGTCAAGATGACATCATCCGAAAAGCCAACGATCTCAACTCCTTTGGGCAGCTAGAGCGTCAGCACGCCATTGTACTTACAGTTTCACAGCATGGGACCTAGAATGGAGCCTTGTGGAACTCCCGCCGTGATCCTAAGCGATTTCTGTCTGTCTCGTAGACCAGGGCCCGGTCTTGGAAGTAACTACTTAGACCGTAACGTGGGTAGATCACCTTTTCGTGGTACGTTACGGGATGTAAGATCTACCACCGATTCCTAGTCCTAACTTCTTCAAACTAGGGGAACAGGATTTTTCAGTAATCAAAGGAACACATCTTAGTCCTTGTTACTTTTTATGCCTTGTTGATAGTGATAAGTCCTCGGGTTGCCTGGACCGAGGATGATCTTGAAACAAGGGAAAAAATGAGTTAGTTAGTCTTCATCTATGTGATTCCTAATCTTCTAATCGTTGTTCCCTAGTTTGAAGTGGTTAAGACTAGGGTTCTGATGCATGGTCATTATCGGTGTCATAACTTGTTTTTGTTGTTAAGGAATCCAATTTTGACTGACAAAGGGGCGCGCCTTTGGAGGGTGTTCCAACTCCGAAGGGTATAAATAGCGGAACCTTTCAGTTAGAATCGATTCCTTGCGATGAAGGCAAGAATGACAACTGTATCAAAACCGAATACTTCATCATTTCTCAATAGTGATGGAGTAATACGACATGCACTAAACTAAGGACACGGGATATACTACAATAGATCAAATTACTGGTCGCAGTGATGTTATGTCCCGAACAGAGGAAAAAAAAAACTACTTAGAATCCTGCAGAGGTAGTCTGGAACCATCA